CTTTTGAGCACAGCTGTGAATCGGGGGGTGCCCACTCTTCTGTAAGTAAACCAGCCCCCCAAGTTCAGTTAGCAAGTCCAATAAACTGGTTAAGATTCTCCAAATGGCGGTTTTGGAGAATTCTTACCTCAGGTTGTAAGGAGAGTGGGAGGAGGGAATTTGTTGCCATGTGCGCCTTCCAGCAGTGAATTTGACTTTACACAGGGTCTCACTATAGAGCCCTGAATTCATACCTGTGGTACTCTTTTTTCAGCCTCTGAAGTGCTGGGATCACAAATGTGTACTTTTGATCAGTAATATTTTTGAACATCTATGTGTGCAGAGTACCAGGGTAGTAACTGCCTAGAACTATCTTCTCTCCCTGTTTCTAGGCCTTTTTTTTTTTTAAGAATCAAAATACTACTTGATGGGATCAAGTAATTATTGTACAAATTCCTACAAACCCTATGTACATTCAAGAGCTAAGCACACAACAATAAGAAAGTTGGGAGAGGTCAACATGTACAAACGATACGGAGGAGAAAATATACAAGACCAAAAGGCATCATACAACCTGCTCTGTGAGGCACATCCAAATGTAACCACTGACCAATCCTCTTCCTCTCTTTTTCTTTCCTTGAAAATTTATGGAGTACCCCTATAGCAATGAATGAGAAGGCAAAGCTGCTTTCCCAGAACTTCCATTCTGGAGGCTGTGTACTTGGCAGCAGTGTAACACAGGGCTCCCCTCTCATGACACCCACATGCAGGGAGAGCTTCCCCTGGCTGTAGCCCTCTCTTTTAGTCTTTTAGTAATCAACACTGTATGCTGGTGGGGCTCTAGTTAATACAGCAAACTTGTTAAGCATCTCTTTCTAATATTTTTTAATGCTAGGTACATAACAAACTTTGAATAAAAGTTGTATAAGGTATAATAATTTATTACATTTGATTTTCTGACACATTCGATGAGCTTTACATGATCAACCATTTAGCTCTGGTGTCCTAATATTTAGAAAAAATGAATCAGTTATCTGCCTAAGGAAGTACTGAATAAATGAATGAATGGACACTCTAAAAAAGCAAGAACAATGACTAGTTGGCTTGTATTATTTAATCAGTGCAAAAAGCTTATAAGATTGTGATGGTTAACATTGTCAAATTGACACTACATAGAATTACTTAGGAGACAAGCCACCAGGCTGGCTGTGAGGGATTACCTAGATTGAATTAGCCCCTGGAAATGCTTGTAAGAGATGGTCTAGATTGTGTTAATTGAGGTGGGAAAACCCACTTTATCTTTGGGAGACACCACTCCATCTGCTAGGCTCCTGGACTGAATAAAAAGGAGAAAGTGAACTGAGCATGAGCATTCATCTCTGTGCTTCTTGACTGTATAAAATGCGACATGCTCTCTCAAACTCCTACCACTGCGTATTCCGTGTCATGATGCACTGGAACTGTGAGTCAAAATAAATGCTTTCTCCCTTAAGTTGCTTTTGTCAGGGTATTTAATCACAGCAATAGTGACAGAAATGGATACTATTTGTATCTCTACTTTGTGGGTGAAGATACCCTTGAGCTCTTAAGGAAACTACCCAAGACATATTACCAGAGAGAACTGGAGACAGGATTCAAACTCTGCAGCTGGGAGCTTGTGCTGTGCTGCCCTCTAATGGAGGCTCCACACCACTCTGGCTTCTGAGCAAGTTTTAGCAATAATTTTGCTGATTTCTTTTTCAGGATAGATTTCCAAATGTCTTGTCATTTGGTCACTATGCTACTGTGGCCCACTAGTTAATGTGGATGTATCTAATTTTCTTTTTACTCCCTTTTGAACCCTGAAGCTTAGTCTCTATTCTCAGGCAGGCAGATCTTTGTGAGTTCAAGGCCTGCCTGGTCTACAAAGTGAGTTCCAGGACAGCTGGGGCAACAGGGAGAGCCTGTCTCAAAAAGACCAAAAAAAAAAAAAAAAAAAACTCCAAAAACCAAAAACCAAAAAACCAAAACACAATATGTATGTTTCCCTTTTCAGCTTCAGGGCTGGATTGAAAATGAGGTGAGACAGGAAGCTTGCCATGGATGTGGAATTCAGGCATACCAGGAAGGTCTCCTTACCCACAAAATCTTTCTTGCTTGCTTCCTTCTGTTTAAAATGCCACCAGTACTGTGACCATATTTGGCATCCAGCCATGTCCTTTGTCAAAATGCAAACACGCTGGGGATAATTAAATGACACTGTGGTGCAGGCATCTGATTTTTCCCTTCAGTAAAGGAATATTTTTGAAAGTACGTGTAGCTGGGAACTGGGTGGGAAAGCTCTGGTTCTGGAAGCAGATGAACGTGAAAGAAACATAAGGCACCACTTTAGGTCCCATGCTGAAAGCATTCCTAAGGTGCAGGGAAACCCAAAAGGGGGAATATATATTGGCTGTGCTTGGAAAAACGAGAGTATGTGTTGCTGAAGCATAAAGTCCTTTATGCTTTAGTAAGGAAGCACTGTGTGGATTCTCCCTTGGGGGCAGACATAGGGGTAGGAGATTTGGAGTGAGTTTGAGTTCATGTTCATATTACACAGGGAGAGTAGGAATGGCAGTGAGGAAAGGATTTCCTCCCCTGACAAGGCCATTCTTGTCAGCTGCTTTCCTTTCACCCTTTACCTAGTCCAGGTGTTGGGTTTCCTAAATATCACTCACCTTGACAAGGCCATTCTTACCCTTTACCTAGTCTGGGTGTTGGGTTTCCTAAATATCACTCACCCTGAGATACTTCTTTTCAATACCAGTCTTCTTCACAGCTAAGTCACAACTTCTCATACCTGGGCATTCTATGAGTTCTTCTCAAATCCACTCTCATCTAAATCTGATGTCCACCCTATATCCATCTGATCACATCACCCCATTCAATATCTTCACACTGCCATTCAGGTAAGAAAACTCCCAAGCACTCTGTGAAACCCTGCGTGGTCCAGCACTAATCAGCATCCACATGGCATCGTTCTCTGAGCCAACTCTCCTTCCTTTCTGACATACCTGTACTAAATATCATTTTTATTTTTATTCTGTCTCACACCTATGCGAGCTTAGCACAATGGTCCCACTCATCGCTGATCCTATATCCACACCCTTTGCCACATAATACTTTACTGTTCACCTGGTGTTAGTGACACGTAGTTCCCAACCATGGGCTCAGCCAAATGGCTCGTTTTGACCAATAAAATCAGAGTCCAGGTGCCAAAAGCTTTGCATGGTTTCATTGTGCCCTTAAACATCTCCCATAACTGTAAGAAGAATATCTCCTTTGGTCTAGGAAAAAAGACGGGAGACTTGTGGAGAACTGCCCAGTTGAGCACAGCATAGACCATGTGAACCCTAGTGCATCCACAGATTTAGAAGATACAGCTGCTAGTTGTTATTTAAAGTATTGGGTGGGGTGACTTGATACGTAGAAATAGCACACTGATACAAGAGACACAATAATATGCATTTTCCTTAACCTCTGTTCGTACTTTTGCATTAAGCAGGGTGAAAGTCCATAAGACTTTATACTGGTAGCTATCACCCTAATAATAGGAAATGGTCACTTGAAGATTGAGGTCCCATAATAAAGCATCAGTTATGTCCTTTGGACTCTGCTGGGATTTTCCAAGTGAAACTGGGGTTTTCTTGCCAATTCAATAAATTGAATGGGTGAAATCAGGCATAGACCTTTCCCTTCCTGCCACAGAAAATCTTTGCCCCTGCTGAGAAAGCAAAGCAGTTTGGGGCCACACTGCAAACTGAGAGCTGGCATGACTGATGTTTCTGATGTGACACTGGTATTTCTCATGTGACTTGTTTCATTTGCATTGCAGGTGAGGGCACACACCCTGTCATAAGAGGCATTTTAAAGGTCATGCTTGATTTAAACAGGGCATCTTGTTCCATTTATGCCTGTCCTTTGAATCTCTCTTTGAAAGGCTAGTGAGTATTTTTGGCCTTTCTATTTTCTCTACCAGACAAAACCTATTACTAAATGGATGCTAATTAAGTAACAGGGCCAACACATTGACAATTCAAAACGAAAACCATGAGCTCATGTGGCTGTCATACCCTATCCCTTAAAGGCAGGGTAAAATGCTATGCTTTTAAAGGGGTGCTTCTCAAGTGAAGACTTGCAACCACAGATGTGGAGCAACTGTTAAAAAAAATAGTGTAGCAATGAATACAGCATTGGGTTTGCATGTAGGAACATCTATAGAGAGATTAAGACTAACAGCTGACAGATGTTATAGCCCTGGAAAAAAAAAAAAAGTGCATACATACCTGGATTGATGTGATTCCTTTCCCTGAAATAAAATTAAAAGAAAATTGTTTTAGTCTTGCTCAGACCCACCCCAAATTCCAAAGCAAACTCTGTGAGAGGAGAAATATGTCATTCTTGAAGTCAAAATGTTCTGGATTTGTTTGGGGGTTGAGGTAAGCTCAGGAGTAAGAAATTTGAATAATGGACTCTTTCTCCTTTAAGTCATCCACACCATGTTGTCTTCAAATAGGGTATATTTTCTTTTCTTTTTTAAAAAAATTTTATTTATTTTTATTTTATGTGTATGAGTGTATTGCTCGCATGTATGTGAGTGCACCTGTGTCATGGAGATCAGAAGAGGGCAGTTTGTAGCCACCATGTGGGTGCTGGGAATTGAACCCAGGTCCTCTACAAGAGCAGTCAGTGCTCTTAACTGCTGAGCCATCTCTCCAGCCCCAAATAGGGTATATTTTCAAGAGGACAATCCATTGTTCTGCAATGCCTGTTGATCATCGATAGCCATACTTGAAAAGTGTCTTCAAGGACACAGTAAAAAGTGAGTTAGATTAGACCTCTGTTTTCCTTCTTACCTAAATGCTGCCCCTCTTTTAGTTGAGGGGTGCAGTACTCCTAAAGGGTGGCTATATTCTGACATCCATGCCGTCCTGCATTATCTCTCATCATAGGGGTTTGGGGCAGCCCTTGAGACATGTGCAGTCTATCAAACTAAGGGTTTACTACTGCATTACCTGAGAATCCAGGTACTGTAGTGTGGGGCTAGGCAGTGTGGGACCTTCTAGCCCAGAAGAAGAGGCCTGGTCGAGAGATGCTTTTCTGATAGGCTGGAGTGCAGGAAGGGCATCTTCATCAGTGGGCTTGTTTTGTGGCTGGACTGTGTCAGTTGATTTGATGGACACTCCAGGATTTGAAGGCAACCTTGTGTGGGATCTCAAGGGTGACAGGAAGTGGGAAGAATCCTTTGGGCTCCCAGGTAGACTCTTGGAAAGGCAAGGTGAGGAGCCTGCATCCCTCCAGTTTCCACAAGTGGGCACTGCCAAGGCATTTTGCTGAAGCTGTGAGTGTGAAGCCCCCCAGACACTGCCTCTCAGTCTTCTCAGGGTAGGAGAGGTGGAAATGCGCCCTGGTGCTTGCCGGTCAAACTGAAGGAGGTTTCCGTGGCTTTCAAAATGCTTCTTTGATAGGCTCTGGGGGTGCTGTGCCTCTGGGGAGGGTGACTCCATCCTTCCCACCTGGCGAGGAGGACCTATTGCTGGAAGCTTCCAGGAGACACTGTCTGAGTTATTATTCTTTAGATCACAGGTTGGTTCCTCAGTTTCCATGTTCAAGTGCCACTTCTCCTGTGGTTTTTCTTTGTCCTTTTCCAAATCCAAAGTATAAGTAGATCGCTGCATCTCTAGGGAGGAACAGCCTGTGCAATATGAGGTAAAAGAGGAGACTGAGATGAAAAAATGTGTATGGAATTTCAAAGGAAAGCTTTTAATTCTTCAGAGGAGATAGGGAGAGTTTAATTCTCATTAGCACCCTTGACATTTTGAAGATAATCAACCCATGTGATTTTAATATACCAAATAGTACATTGAAATCCATCTAAATAGTACATTGATATCCCCTTACTGGCCTTTAAAAGGCCTTTAAAATTTTTGATAATGGGGCTAGAGAGATGGCTCAGCAGTTAAGAGCACTGACTGTTCTTACAGAAGATCTGGGTTTGAATCCCAGCACCCACATGGAGGCTAACAACCATCTGTAACTCCAGTTCTAGGGGATCCAATGCCCTCTTCTGTCCTCAGTGGGCACTGTGGGACATGGGTGCACTTACACATATGCAGGCAATACACTCATACACATAAAAACAAAAATAACAAATGAAATGCAAAAAACAATTTTGATAACTTAAGAGATTTCTAAGCCACAAAGCTAACCTCCTTTTGATGGTTCTGCTTGAGGATAATCAAATTTGCATGAAATTCTCTTTATATCCTGCTTGTATACATATATGCATGCATGTATGTAATCATGCATGTATGTACTTTACTGTATTCCACGGATTCATGAACAGGGAAAATAAGATTCCTTCTCTCAAAGACAATTAATACAAGCCAGCCATGGTGGCTCACACTTATAGTCCGAAGAGCACTGCAGACTCAAGGCCAGTCTGGGCTATTTAGCAAGACCCTAGAAGACGTTTTCGAGCCCATCAATCCCCATATCTTAGAAAAGTGATCCTGAGTTTTAAAAGAAAACTCCAGATGTCATCAGGTACCCTACTTCTTTTGATGAGAGGTCTTGCACAGGTAGAGCTGCCTCCTGCCTAGCCCTTTGCATGCTCAGGCAAAATTGATTCTGTTATTTGGCAAGGTGACTCATGGGGACATGGAAATGACCTGTGGCACTGGGAGAATATCAGTTCTTACCCATCCCATCAATGAATGTATCAGAGTCAGTTCTTAATGATTCCCAGAGTAAGGAGGATCTACGGTATAGATGCTTCTACTACCCTCTTTTACCACAGGCAACTGGAAGGCGGTTTCAGACTCTGCATGGGATCTTTGTGAGTGAATATTGGCAGTTGACCACATATTCTCAGATACTGAGTAACATTTTTAGTATGGTTGTCTGGAACCCTGTGAGAATACATATATTTGGACACCCAAAATTCCATGATAGTTAATAATATGCCTTTTAGTGTCACACAATTTTAGTTGTATCAGTAACACTTTTTATTATTTTCTACAATGTGTTATTACTTCCTCAATTTGATACTAGTGAATGCTTAAAACCACTGAAAGTTTTCCTCAAGACCTGACCTCACTTTGTTGACAGTCATTCTGTACTGGCTGACATGCTGTGACTATGCCCAAGTTTACTGTAGTTCTTTGGAGAACTACATTTCCCTATGCTGTTGATCAGAGATGATTATTTACCTCCACACTAAACAGCCCCACACTAATGCACTGTTTTTATTCTCACTGCATCTGCCTATTGTAGGCACTTTCCCCTTTGTTTCATTTAATCAATTTCAGGCAGAGAAGTCCAATAGTTTTGCGTACAAGATTAATAGGTTCTAATATTTATCCTTATCAGCAAAGAGGAGGAACCCAGTGTTATGGCATTGTCACCATGATATTATGATACTGACTCTGGGAACTTTATAATCTTTGACTTAATCTTTGGCTTTCATTTGGTTAAAGGTCAAATGAAACTGACAGGTACCAGAGCATTGTTTAAGGAGAACTACTGAGATACCAATAAAAGTCAATTCAATTCCTACAAAAGAAATCTGAAATCTTCATTGTGGGGCTGTAACATGTAAAGCTGAGGTTCAGTCTTGCAGAGCCTCACACAGAATGTGAACTGAGGTGTGAGGTGCTTTTTGAGCACTCGAGGAAATTACTTTTGTGAAGGTGAGCTACACTGGTTTGTTTTTGAGATTTGACTTTTCTGGTTGCTATTCTAGAAACCGGTGCCAGCTTTGCTGGGGAGGAGTCAAAGAGGCTCTTCTGACCATCGACAAACTCAGGTACTTTGTATCACTTGAGGTCCTGAGCCCCTGGCTGGTTCCTGGGGTGGGGGAAGTTCCTCATTTCTCAATAAACAAATGGCTGGTTGAGGACTGGAGTTGTAGGTACTTTCACACAGGTACACACCCAGAAATTCAATTGCTTTTCTCCTTTAGAGATTTTCCCAGGTTCTAGGAAGCAATAATGTTACAGAGATTCAGAAAGTTCACATGGGCTCTTGCATAATAGCTACACCAGAGCTTTCAGCCTGGTAGTTTCCAGTCCACCATTTTAGTTTTAGGACACAGCTTTGGAGATCACTTTCAGTCTTCTGTTACAGATGTAGGGCCTCTGGTAAGAGGTCATTGATGCCCAATAGGATTTAAGGGTCATTAAGTGTTGGCTATTAGGTAGTGTCTTAAATATTAGAACCAGTGCAATAATAGCAACACATAGGCCAAAGCACCAGGCACTACCAGCTGGACTCACCACAGGACTGAAGAGAGTTCAAGTGCAGCAGGACTCTGGGTTGTCTGCAGGATGCTCAAACTTGCAAACACATCTAACTAGCTTCTCTTCCAGCCTCACTACCAACTCGGGATGTGACCTTGGGACAGGTCTCCTCAGGCCACTCCTCTGCTTCCGTCTGAGCATTTGTAAGAAGAGCATTAATGAGCCTCCCTCATGGAGTTGGTGCAAGAATTAAATGAGACAGTGGCTAAGGCTTCTGGGAGGCCCTTCCGCAAAGCTTTCCCCTTGTGGCGCTAAAGAGTCAAACTGAACAGTCAGAGTATGCATGCCATCCATTTTCCTTTGCCATCGCTACAAGATTGGATCAGTATATGCTTGTGATTCAGAAAAATCACCAACTTAAGCCTCCCAGGTTTAAGCATCCAGCGAACAGTCAGTCATGCATGGTAGTGGACACCCACAATCCCAGTACTCATGAGGTGGAGGTAGGGGGCTATATACCAAGTTTGAAGCCAGCCGGGGCTACAAGACCCTGTCTTTAAAACAAAACTAAACAAAGTCAAATAAATAAACTCACCTTGTTGAAGAATCTCATTGTATTACAAATTAAATCTCATAGATTAATGATTCACTAATCCTAATTAGACCTGGAAAGACAAGCTGGACAGGACCTCACAGAGCCGGCAGTAACAGGATCTCAACAAACAGAAAATGCAAGAGGGAAACCCAGAAAGCAGCGCATGTCATCTTAGTACCTTTGGGAAGGGCTGACTCTGAGCGTGACATTGTCTGGTTGGGTCCGCACCATCCTCAGGGTATGCACAAGCACAGATCCAGCTACGTGGCCAGGGCTGGGCAGCAGGTTCCACACCTGTAAGATGGACTCTCCCTTGCTGAGCTAAGCACCTGGATCAAGCAGAAAGGAGGAGCTGGCTTCTCCCCTCCTTAGAGACTTTTCTGGTCATTTGTTTATGAATAAGCCTAGAGGGAAGCTTGCCTAGCACTAGGCTGCCTAAGAAGTCAGGTGATTTGTTTCTAGTGAACAGTGTCTCCTCCAAAACAGAAACGATGCAAATGTGGTGGCCTGCTTCCTCCAGAAGCCATCAGCGGGGCTGTTCTAAGTTCCCATTCTGTGGGTGTTTTTTCTGAGCCTGACAATCATTCCTTAGGACCTTACTTTTTCCACTACATTTTAAAATATTTTGTTTTGATCTATTTTATTAATATATTGAGTAACAGAGGGAAGATCATTGTCCTTAGGGACAAATTTATAACCGTTGATTTTCAAGTAATTAAATTGCAAATGTCTCACAGAATTCTCATTAGATCACATCCTAAATATTTATTAGGTGCCTATGTAGATGTTTTAATATGTGCAGTATTTTAAAAATCTGTAGACTCCTCAAAAAAAACAAATTAAATTAATTCTGACCTGGGTCAGTTTACCTCCTTCTTAGGCCACCTAGTAGTACTCTCTTTCAACCCCTGAGATCACCATATATGTGTGGGTATGTGAGTGTGTGCCTGCTCATGTGTGTGGGTTCATGTGCATGTGTGTGGAGGTAAGAGGACAGCTGCGCTGGTTGTTCCTCCTGCACTGTCGACCTTTTGTTTTGAAACAGGGTCGCTCACTGTCCTGAACTTGTCAAATAGCCTGGGGTGGCCAGTGAGCCCCAAGTCTACCTGTGTTGTTCCCTACCTTCTCCTCACTGGGATTATAAGTGGGTTCTGCCATGCCTGATTTTTTTTTCTTTTTTAGTCTCTTTAAATTTTAATCTTTTTTTTTTTTTTCCATTACAGCTTTAACATATTCAGTAACACATTTCAGAGCAAGGATACATCTCTTTCAAAGGTGGCTGTAAATTTTTAGGTTCACAGTTGAATTAATACAGTCATACAGTAATGAACTCAGTAAAAGCCCTGTAGGACATAAAATTGGCTGAGTTTTTATCCTTTAAAGAAGATCTCCACTTCATTTTAAGATATGTTGTTTCCTACATTTTTTTTCAATAAAATATTTTTTTTCAATTAGAAGAAGCATTTCATTACAACAGCATTAACCTATTCAATAACATTTTTCTGAGCTAGGGTACATCTCTTTCAAAACTGGCTGTACATTTCTAGGTTTACAGATGAATTATTACCCTTATATAATCTTTTACTCATTATAAACTCTATAAGACATAAAATTAAATGAGGTTCCAACGTTTAAAAAAGATCTCCACTTCGTTGTCAAAACACACAGTTTCATACAGAAAAATTCATTCCA